GGCCAAAGGCCTTGGTAAACAGATGGGACTTGAGGACTGAAGCATCATGCCAGTATTTGTTTTATATAGCTACACCAGCTGCAACGTTGAAGTAATGCTCTACAAGTAAATGTATCAATAATTATAATCCATTTATAAAATATATATTATTCCTGATGGATCATTCTGCATAATGGATCGTTTTGATACTGAACAAAAACGTAACTATGCACTTTAATAATGGCACTATATGCACTTTATTTAAAAGTTTGCACAATACATGTTCCACTTTGCATAATGTCACATGTTGTACTACTCTATCTATTGTGTTGTCGTCTGTCAGGTACAGTCATGGGTTATCTGCTCTGCCTGAAAGAGTGGACTCAGATCAGGCTCTGATAATAATACTGTTTGTGTTTGTAAGTAAAGGTCCGTGCTCTGGCGAGGCCTAAACGTGGATCGAGTAATCCAGGAAGTGTTCAGTGACCCGCGTAAAGGCTTGTATCGTTTTAAACCAATGAGGTAATTGATGACATCTGAAGCCTCGTATGGGTTAAAGTTAAACCCATTCAAAAACACTATCATTGCGCCATTATTAGCATATATCACAATATTGGCAGTATCATTATATTATTATACAATTATTGCTCAAATAATCGATTTACACATATTGGATACTTTACTCACAAGTACCTATTACTGGAAGCATCCAATCAAGTATAACAGGTACACGGTATAAAAGCACACCAGTTGCATGGCTGCCATTTTGATATTGCTTGTTGTATGTGTTAATAACACCGTATAAAACAGCTGTTACATGGTCATTCTTGCAAGTGGTGTCAAGAAGCTGAATGGAGTGTAAAGAGGACCAGATTTGGAAAGAAAAATGGTGGTCAGTCGACCCAGGCAGCATGGCAGAGATTCAAAGCAGGAGGGAAGCTGTGGAGCTGGCAGGTCTGGTGATCTAAAGCAGTGTTAGATCAACTATGGAAGTGTCCTCTCTTCAAGATCAACAATAGACAGTCAGTAGCATCCATTTTTTATAAATACAGTAGCTTTTCCAAAATATGCCTAGCAGGATCCTACACAGAGTGGGACCCATATCACAGCTTTTACAGCAGGCTTACCTTTCTTGAAGTGTATCAAGGAATATTTTGTGAAACATTTGTAATGAGCAATTTCCATTAAAGAATTTTGCATTAATTTAACAATTTCACAATGAATACATGATCTTAATAATATAATAAGGTAAAGCAACTTGTTCAGGAAATGTGGTGGTACAAGTGTTGAAATGTGTTAACACTGTTTTTAACACCAAAGGATATTCTTGAGAAAATATAAAAACATATTTAAAAAAGGTTCAATTGTTCATTAAATAGGTTTAATGAATTCGAAATATCACATTTAGATCATGGAGGCTGTGGCGCAGTGGGTTAGTGCGTTGTTGTACGGATCAGGGAAGCACAGGTTCAAACCCCACTGTAGTCAGCATGTCGTTGTGTCCCTGGGTAAGACACTAAACCCCAAATTGCTCCTGTGGGGATTGCCCACAGTAGTGAGTATGTAAGTCGCTTTGGATAAAAGCGTCTAACAAGTAACATGTACTGTAATGTTGACGCTAACCCTAACCAGTTTTTGAATGTCTATTTTTTTTAAATTTCTGACTCAATGTGTCGTTTGATTTCTGAAGTTGTACAATGGCTCTGAATTATGCTTTTATTTGATTTAATGTAGTGCAATGTAATATATTATTTATTTATATTTTCTTTTAAATATGTCTTTTTTTTTACATTACCTTTCCCAATGCAAAGAATCATGCACACGTGCAACTAATAGCATTAATGATGGCTGCATTCCATTTAGGTGTTTTGTGTTGGTCAGTGCTCTGTTGTGTATGCTGGCTCAGTCGCAGGGCTTTCTGGGACAATTAAATGGAACAGGGCTTCATTAACGTTATTAGCAACACCTGTGCTTCTCTTGCAAGGACAAGTCTAAATGCCTGCATTAACGAAACCGGCTTCTAAACTACGTTGCTAAATCTTAAATGATTGATAAGATTCTGGTTTTATGAGGACTACAACGATACAGAATTCGACGACTTCAACGTTACAGAAATTAGAGCTTATTATGTAAAATGTTCTGCTGGTGGATCTAGAAACCTAGCTTTACACGTGCTTAGCCACAAGAGGGCGCCATTCCTCCACTATAGCCAGGTTTGTGGTTTCCCCCCGGGACAACAGTAAGCATCTCTCCTTGCGCCCAACAGCAGGGGCGCCAAACAGCAGGGGTGCCAAAAATTGAAGTGAGGAAAAAGCCGGAGGCTGACATTTTTCTCCAGGGTGTCCGCCGCAGGGAACCCAGCGCTGAGAGCCCCGGGCTTTGAACAGACACACCACCGAGGCTTGTTTTGCAGACAAAAATCAGCAGACTGATCCAAGTGCAACCACTCTAAAGGACCGAGGAGAGCTCCCCTCTTGAATCCCATCTGACAGCAAGTGAGTTGCCTGTTGTCTTGCTTTCTTTCATTCTGTCTTTTTAAAGCATTGTAATGTCTCCCATTTGTAATTAGAAAAATAATCCAACTAGATTAGTGTCTGGCTGGTGGAGGTCTTTTATTCCACAGAAATGCTTCAAAATTAGCATGTATGGGAAATGCGTGAACATGGACTGTCAGTGTAAATAGACATAGTAGTGTGTATACACAGAACTAAGTGAAGCTCATACCTCACAGCAGAATGCTTCACTTTATTGTTTTATTACTGAACTCCTTGCAGTTGTGTTCAATTCCAAGAAACTCTGTTGGACCAAATTATAAGAAGCCTGTAGTGATTGTTCCAGTTTCTCTATTTACTGGCCTACTTTCTCAAATGGCTCAGTTTGAACTCAAGCATTTTAATTAAAAACACAGTAGAGTAAATGATAAAAGTGTGTCTACAGAATCATTCCCACACACATTTCACAGAGTTGGCGAATACAAAATAAGGAACAGGGATCACTGGAAAAAAAGCAATTAAAAGGAATAATGAAGATTCATTATGAAGCTAATAGACTCTTGTAATACTGATTACAAGAAAAGAAAAAAAAGCCATTTTAGGATCTGATTCACGTGAGAAAATCACAAGAAAGGGAGGAGATAAATGAACATTGATCTAAGCCAAACTGGAGAATAAGTAGGCCTGCCTGTAGGCTTATATCGATAAATAGCTACGCAGAGAATGTTTCCTGGCATCACTTCATACTAAAATTGCTCTAATTCTTTAATCAGTTCGAGTTTGATTTACATGTAATTGATTTAAGCCTGTTTTGGATGAAGCTGGCACCACTTTTACCTTTTGGGTTTAAACCCATTCATTGGCAGTGTCTCCTTGATATGTTCCTGCCTTGTTTGCTTCACTGGCATAGTCAAATTGTAGTATTGGCTTCAGGTGTGTGTTCTTGTAGGCGTTAAACTGCCATAGGATTGGGGTTAATGCGTATTATTTTAAATTGTCCGGTGGTTTGAATACGTATTTTAACGCTCTTTGTTTAGAGATGAATTACTGCAATAGAGGTTCCTGACCGTAGCTCGGTCCCGGGCTGGGCTGATCCCCCAGAGGATGGTGCAGTGGGCCAAATACAGGAGGAATGTTGATCAGCTTACAGGGGGCCGGGACGTGCTGGGATGTGATCGGCCGATGCTCGAATAATGCTCGAATAATGCTCGAATAATGCTCGCCCGGTAGGAAGGCTGCACCTGCAAAAACACGGAGCAACATGCACGCTTTTGACCTGGAATTATACATTTGCTCGTGTGGACTGGTTTTTCAAATATGTTTCTACATGAACTTAGACAGTAGTTCTAATGCTCTGATGTTATTGGCTGAAACCATTTGAAAATGTATATCTATGCAAATATCATCCCTTTTTATGTTAATTTGTGTATCAGTTTAAATATATTCATTACTATTGGCTGCAATTAAACACTGTCCAATGTGAACCAGTGACCTCTCCAGTGCGCTTTTACGCACGCTCTCCCCGGATAGCCTACATAAAATTGAAAACTCTCATCATGGCAAACCACATTTAGCTGTTGCTATTTAACCTACACACTGAGAGAAGTATAACGCCATGTGAATGCAGTTAATACGTTAATGTGCTGCTGTCATGGCCGAGGGCGCAGAGCCACATTTTCTGTGCCAAAACGAACCTCTCTCTCTCTCTCTCTCTCTCTCTCTCTCTCTCTCTCTCTCTCTCTCTCTCTCTCTCTCTCTCTCTCTCTCTCTCTCTCTCTCTCTCTCTCTCCACACACACTCGCACACACTACCCCATCTTCATGATGCAACAACGAGTCAATGCCATGATACATTTCATGTGATGCTACTTTAATTATAGCGTATTAATAAGCCATCTAAACGTCAACCTTGTTGCTGCTTTGGCGCACAGGCCTACGCTAATAAATCCAGCATGTGTTGGGCTCTTATTTGTGATTAATAAGTTATAGCATTCTGCATCTGCCTCTTGTTTCTGTGAGCCCTGGAGCCCCTACTCTTTTCCAACAGGTTCAACGTTGTGTTCTCATTACGACCTCCATATGGCTGCCTGTGAACACAGCGAGCCATGGGGCATTTGGAGCTGGCAGCACAGTGAGAATCAGTCCGTAAAGCGGCGGAGGTATTTGTTGTAAAAGTGAGACCAGTTGTGTTGTTAGAGGTAAAATAATCTTGAAGCAAGTGGTCGCTTGGTCAAGTGTTTATGTTCGTGTGCACATTATTTTTGGCTACAGGAGTAAATTACACGCATCGCCAAATTGCAGGTAAAATGAAATTTAAGTTAACAAAACACAGAACACAGCGGGATTTCGGAATATTTAAACCCCTCTCTCTCTCTCACACACACACACACACACACACACACACACACACACACACACACACACACACACACACACACACTCTGCCTCTCTCTCCTCCCTCTCTCTCTCATACATGGTTGGGAAAATCTGGGTTTGATTTTAATGGGGAGTAGCCTACCACGGGCTCGCTTTACAACCTATGGATGTACTGGAGGGATTCCAGTCTGTTTGAGCTTCGGGCGCGGATGCAGCGGTCCTCCTCTCGTTGTCCCCTCACTTTTGACTGTGTTGCACGCGTCTCTCTTGTCCTTTTTCATTTTTTACGATGCGAGTGTGAGAAACACGAGACACTTTTTGCGTTTGGAGGGGACCTTTTCTGACGGAAGACAACCCAAAGGCTAATTGGTGTGGATTTCGGGGGACGTCCTTTTTAAATTCAGACACGGCAACATTCACGACTTGACACCTGGGGTAAGTTTATAATTCTCGGAGTCCGTTTATCTGACATGCTGCCTGTGTGTGATGGGAACAGACTTTAATTTTACGCACCACTTGTTCTCTCAGAGAATAAGTGACTCGCAGCTCTTGTCATGACATGCTGTCCATTACTTGCCATTTGTTTTAAATAAAGGCAATGACTGTTATTACTTCATGAAAGGCTGAGGTAGTGTGACTGCGGTGTGAGGGTCGCTGAATCAGCGGGGCGCGCTGCATCAGAGCTGCGGACCACAGACAGGTGTCTCCTCGGTTTACAACCAGCCCGTCTTAGCGAGGAAATCAGCCCGCGCCGAGGATTGAATACGAGGTACAAGAGGTGGACTATACGCAGCCATGAGCTTTAGTAGCGACTTGGATTCAGAGCCAAGTGCGGATGCCAAAGCAAGCAGCGCGCTCCTCGGTTCCCCTTCCTCAACACTGCCCTGGCCAAGGCTCGCAATGCGTTTGTCACTTCTAATATCTTCCCTTTTTGCTTTAACACCACCACTGGCATGTTAAAAACACATTTCTAGATTCTGTAAAGCCACTTTCAAGAGGAAATCAGTTGTCTTTTAAGTTGTCTTATCTGGGGTTCATTGAGCATTATAGTGATGATGAGCTTGATTTGACAGTGAAGGTGTCAGAGGAAACCGCCTCCACAGAAATGATGAGCTCTCTAACCCCATCTACTCTCCTCACAAGCAGCAACAAGCCTGGAAGTGAAGGCAAGAGTCCATACAGATTGCTTATCTTCCCTGCTTCAATAGACTTAAAGTATGCCCCTGTTACACACTGAAACAGTGTCAGCCACTTGACCTACTTCTCACTCTCACCACAAATGACTGGAATCAGTCCATAAAGAGGGCCTCTGAATCCTCAGCGTTCACTGAGGTCAGAGGGAATGTGAAGTGTAAAACGCTTGAGTTTAATGCCTGTGGTGAAGAGATGTGATGTTTATCTCCAACGTGGCTAATGTTTCTCTGTTTTTGTCAATTTAATAATCTATATTTGATTGCATCACCCCCTCTTTCCATCAATAACAAACTGAGGGAGGTAGAGCCAGGAGCAGCTGAGGGCACATGACGTGGAAGCTAATCCAAGGCAACATAGTGCAGATTTGATTCACTCCTGGGAGTGTGTGTATGTGCTATTTATGGACCCCCGAGAAAAGCGTACGGATGAAGATGGAGATGGAGAAAGCTGCAGTAACATAAGTCGATCGTTTTCTTGTGCTTGGAAAAGCAGGATTCTTCAGAACTGTTGGCTCCGTCCACCTGAGCGAGTAAAGTCAACACATCAAATGTGTTTTTCTCCTTTGGGTTTAAAATGGGGTGAACTGATCTTTCGTTCTGTCAGTCCTTCATTTTCAGTATTTGACTGAATGTAAACATCCATCCCATCTTTGAGTCTATCTTTTGTCACTTTTAACAAATTACCTTGAGGCCCTTAATACAATTATCTCAACCATGACCTTGCGTATGAAGCTGTCAGTGAGATCAGAATGATCCTCTTTCATTTTTCAGCTGCTTCTCTGCAGCCACCATATCAGGCTCTGGCACCAAGAATAAAACGCTCTTTAGTTTTCCTGAATGGCAGTTTAATATTTTGATTGGACTGCACTTGGAATTTCACATGTAGAGATTTTATGTTCTTTCCTTCCTGGATCATTCCCACCCCAGATATGAATCAACATTTAGATCTGCAGATGGATGTGGTGATAAAGTAAACTCTTTTCACACAGTCTCACACTCACACATTCGTTGTCTCCACTCCAGAGGTGAGAGTGCTGTCTTGCTGACTTAAGTGGCCGTGTGTTTTCTCTTTGAGTGACAAATTGGGTGTGTGTGAGCTTACGTTTCCTGTTAAAATACCTGTCATTCGTCAGCGTGACACCCAAGATGTCTTTCACTGTGTGAAGAGCATCCAGGGGCAAAGATTCCCATGATTCATCCTGCCGCTCCCGCGCCCTGCTAGGCCAGCATATGTCAACCGCACATTTCCTCCAGATGCACAAGGGATAAGAGTGTGTGAGGTCCGCAAGTGTGTCTGTGCCCACTTAGTACCTATCAGTATCTTTATCTGACTTGGAAACACACAGTATACATCTTCTGGGTTATTGGCACACTGTCAGACATGGTGATCTGATTTTTGCCAAAGGAACTACATTTTTTTGTTTTTGCGGATGGGCCATGCTCAATTATGCTCATATTGTCAACATTAATTTGGCATTTCAGAGGGAAGAGCAATGCATTGTTATACAGATAATATAGTTGGACCACTTTTTTGATAGTAGGCTAACCTGTTAACGGAGAGTTTCCAACAGGAGTCGGTTGTTTTAACAAGTGCCCCAAAATGACAAATGTTCCTGACCAAGTCACAAAGACATCTTGCGGCCATAATAATTATCAGGTGAGCAAAGGAGGAAGTGCATGCAGGGAGGCAGGTGTGGATGGTCAACATCTGACATGGAAGACAGCTATTTAGTACTCTTTTTTTTTTTTTTAAACGTATTTTATTTAGCACCACAATCATTTCTTAAATCCTTTTTAACATTGATAACAAAGCTCTCCTAACCTGCAGAGCGTTTTCTTTTAGGAGTCAGCTGAAATGCAAGAAATATCATAAGGGATCCCAGAACTTAATACGAGGGGATATAACTTCCCCCCCCATGACTCCGGGCTCTAGATTTGTGTGCCTACAGTAAACCTTAACCATAGCGTGTCTCTTCATAAACGTTGATGGTGATTTGTTACAGTTACAGTAGACATGGTGTCGGCCTGCAGAAAGGGCTGTTACAGTAGGTCCGAAAACGCCTGTGTCATTCTAGAGGGCAATGGTAAGATACGCATTTGTTGTTTGATTTGGAGGAGAAATCTGAAGTAAAGACAAAAGACAGACATGGGGCTTCTTTCCGTTTTCACAGGGAGGCTGCTGACCCCTGACCTTTAGGCAAACGGTGCGTTTTAACAAAGTGAAGATAGAATAATGGAAGAGAAACAAGGGAAGAAGGCAAAGGGAGATTTCTGATGAGTCACCAGCTTTGGCATCCTTCAGTGTGTCTTCCTGCGAGAGCGAGGGCACATATTGAGAATGAGAACTAGCGTAGAGCATGTGTTTGTCCGTCAACAACGTGTGTGTTTAAGTGTAATGTACGCAACCGTGCGAGTATTCCAAGCACTTAATAAAATGATTTGTGGTATTTTTTCCCCCTGCGAGTTCAAAGCGGGTCCTTGCTTTTGGCTTTGGGGTAGAGGTTGCTCTTGTGCAATGGAAAAAAAAGAGGCTGTTTTCCTGTTAGGGGGGCTTTTTGGGAAAACCGCGGCTCTGCCTACCGCAGCCAGCCTTCAAAGGGCTTTGAAGGAGTGCTCACCTCTCCTTAAATCCTTCCCTGCCGCTAAACGAGCTACTTCCTCTCAGGAACACCTCACCTGCCGCTCCCCGTCCAACCTCACCGCTGCGGTCAGGGTTAAGCTCAGGTCCATGGGAAATGTTCAATCAAGGAGCCCTCAGTTCACCAACACACTCTAAAAACAGAACACTCATCTCTGTAACCCTGCTGCATGTTCTTCATGCAGGGACAAACAAGAGGAAGGAATCTGCCTCTGCCCAGCATCGCAGGGCGGAGGGTGTCATCCTTCTCTCCGCGCATCTTGACAGCACATGTAGAGGAAATATTTCTTGTATTTGAAGGCAGATCATAGTTTGACATGGAAGGCCGTAAATCTTTGAACTCTTGTCCCTTTTCTCACAAGTCCATAGCTCTGCCAGTTAAACATCCAAGACAGAGAACAGCTTTTTCCTTCCCTCAAGTTGACAGCTATATTTTTCATTTGAGAATTTATTCAGGACTGAAGCCTCGTGGGACATTTATACCACACTTTTAAATGTTACCCCTTCTTTGATGTTTTATTTTCAAAGCAATTATGCCCCTGGTTGCAGAACAACATGGTATTTTTATTATCTTTTAATGACACCCAAATATAATGTTTTAATCCACACATTGGACCCGGTAGTAGCCTATGTTAGTTTAAAACTCAACTAGTATACTTTGTAGTGTCATCTAAATCTAACAAACGTGTTGTGTTCGGCATATAGTAAAAACGGTAGCTATACATTTTAAAATCAAATGTTCAAAATACTATTTGAAGTTCAATCACTTAATCTTTGAACCGTGTATTGCTATTAATATTTACTTGAAATATTCTGACTTACTCTTGACTTTTTATTACCGAAAAACAAGTAAGTTACTCTTAGGTCATCTTAGCAGCATTTAAGCATTTGGATATGTTGGGGTTGAATTCCATGTGAAAATGAAACAAAGAGCCCTTATATTCTAGATATTTTTATTTTTGCGTGTCATGTTTCTCATAAATTAACCCCCACTAAACCCCGAGTCACTGTTACCCAGAACTCTTCCTGCTCATGTCCTTTTCCCTCCCTAAGCCTCCCATTTTCTCACCAAAAACCCTGACCTCACAGAACACTTCATTATCAGAAAGGGTCCTATCAGCATTTTACTTTTGCTTTTGAAATACCAACATGTATATGTGCAAATACAGAAGGCGGTAGCTGAGCACAGCTTCCCGTCTGTGTGAATTATCCCGACCCTCATATTCCACCTCTTGCTGTCTGTCTCCTCTCCTCCGGTTCGGTTCTGGATCAGGTTCTGTTGATCCAGAGAACCGCCGTGTGGGCTCGGCCACAGAAGCTGCTGCATTCCTCCGCTGGGCGTTCAGCCGTTTCTCCTGCAGTGTCTCTTTCTGCCAGATGCAGAGATGGAAAGGCAGAGATTATATCATATATACGTTTTATGATGCTTTTGAGATACTCCTGCTTTGTGATTAGCCCTTGCACTTTAGAGCCTCATATTTATTATCCTGGTAAGAAAAGTAGTTCAGGTGCCGCAGTTTGAAGTGATTTTGAAGGTTGCAGTAAGCGTAAAAACTCTGGTGATTTATCAGATGAAGCCTTCCAGAGACACTCACACAGCGCCT